ACTGATGCCAGCTTTGGTCAAGGTGTTTCTAAACGTTCAACTTCTGGTGTAATCGTCCGTTGTGGGATGTCGACTCTAACTTGGAGATGTTGTCGCCAATCGAAATTATCTACATCGAGTTGTGAGGCGGAATCCAGAGCTTTATTGGATGGGCATAACATCATGAAACCAATACGTGAAATTTTGGACTTTATGAGTTATATGACTAATGTTATTTTCCGTTGTGATAACAAGTCTGCTATTCAAATTTTTACTGGAAGTACGATGAAGAGATCCAGACATTTTGACATAGAAATCAAAAAGCTCGTGGAGATTTTTTCAGATGATCCTTCTATGTCTGTCGATTTTGTTTCTACTGATATTCAATTAGCAGATGGGTTAACTAAACCCTTTAGCAAAAATAATTTATGTATTTTCTTTGATTCTTTGTTTTTATGAATCATCGGGTAACAGGGTTCATTGCTTTTATTGTGTGTGTATGTGTGTGTGTGTTAATATAATGGCAACCAGAATTGATCAAGTAAATTTTCAAATTTTGGATTTGACCTCTATGTGGAAAAATATAAAATGAAAAAAAATCTCCCACTGATAATGTGATCATCATTATTGACCAAAATGTAGATATAGAGCGAGAGAGAGAGAGAAAATGAAAAAAATTGATGATAAAAATGGGAATAGTAAATGATCAGGATAATGTCACTTTGATTATTGCATCATTTGTTTTTTCTCTCTGTGTGTGTGTTTCTGTGTTATATGTCCCCATCATTTGACCTTTTTTTTTTTGGTTGTTGTTGTTGAACGGCGGACATGTGCCCTCCATGATGTATGGTCTCTGTGTTTGTGTCCATTGTATATGTTTATTCGATCGTATATATTCCCTGTGTCCTTTTTCTTGATGTCCTTTTTTGGTTGGACAAACAACAACAACTAGAGAGAGTAATATGTGATTTACATGTTTTTTTCGGCTGTAATTTTATTTTATCAGTGTTATAGATATGACATTTATGAATGATAATCATAAATTTTTTAGTGTTTTTCACTTTCTCTCTCTCTCTCTCTGTTTCTGGTCTGGCTGGTCTAGTCCATTTTTTATGCGAATGGTCAATGATATGAAATTCACGTCCTATGAAAAATATGGTCATTGATGATGTTGTTGGTGGTAGTTGACATTGATTTTTCCGCTACACCTTCCCTTCATCATCATCATCATTATTGTGTCTTTCAAAAACATGATTCTTTTGTTTCGTTCGATTTGAATATATATGATTGAAATGGATAGCGATTCTTTTCACACAATAATAATAATTTCCTTTGATGGCTAACGATTTCGTGTGTGCATTTGATGATTTGCTATGTGTATTTGGTCCATATACCAAATTGAGCGAATAATTTTTTTTTCATGTTCCAAAATTCTTTCTATATGCCCGTGTGTGTGTGTGTGTGTGTATGATAATGGTTCACTGTCGTCACCGTGTGTCCATCCACCATTTATCTAACTAGTTTGTTGTTTGTAATAATAGAATGCAAATGATGCGTGTTTTTGTTTATTTGTCTTTCGTGTGTTTCAATAAAATGATCTAGTCTCACATTGATAGAAAATATTGAACGTTTGCATTGGTGGCCCTTGCATTATTGTGTTGTGTGCTTTGTATCCATCCATGTTTGTATTTCATTTTTTTTCATACATCCATCCAACCATCCATCCATCCGTTGGGTCGTTTATCTTCATTTTTGGCTGATTTGATTTCTTTTGCTGGTCCACATACTACTAACATTTGACCAGAGCAAATATCACACACACACACACACACACACATATGGACAACACACACGCAAACCAAGAATAATATTAGGTTGTCGAATTCGATGTTATTATTATTGTTGTCGGTTGATTTGATGGAAATTTAACTCAAAGTCTCGCTGTGTGTGTGTGTGTGTTGGACAAAATTCAAATTGGTAGATGTGTTACTGCCACCCGCACAAACAACAACACACACACACACTTGGTTAGATTTTTTGTGTTTAGTACCATGTTTTTTTTTTGGTTTTGTCACTCGTTTTTTCTGGTTTTTTATCTCGTTGCCCAATTTAATTTTGTCGAAAATCGTTGTCGTCGTCGACGTCCATTTTTGCTCTTGCTCTCTAGTTTCATTTGAATTCAACTGGATATAATATTGATGAAACAAGAATGAGAAAAAAAAACTGCATACATTTTATCTCAAAATGACGAAGGGTTCGTTTTTTTTGTCGCTTGGGAATTGAGAATTTTTTTTTGCTCTTTCAAAAATTTCTGCATCTCTGTGTGTGTGTGTTTGTGTGTGCCGCAAACATGGTAATGATCTCTGGACTTGGACACACACTGTTTTTATTCGGTTGGTTTGTTAACTTTTTATTTTTTTCGAAACTAAGCATCGGGAATTGAATGAAAAAAAAATTTTTTTAATTTGATTTCCGTATATGCCGTCGTTGTGTTTCAAAATGATGGTGACCACGATACTCTTTATATATGTATGAATGATGGTCACCGTGGACCAACAACCAACCAACCAACCAACCAACTAGCCAAAAATAAAAAATGTTGATCGATTCAATTTTGAATTTAGTTATTTTAATTTGATTTTGTGTGTGTGTGTGTGTGTGTGTGTTTCAACAACAACACACGGCCATCACCATCGTCGTTCTGGTTCGATCAATCGTGTTGTATCTCGTTCTGTGTTTTTATTCTTTTTCTTCGGTCATTTATGATGAACAAAAACTTGAAAACTTTGATGAATTCAATACGAAAGCAAAAAAAAAGAAAAATAAAAATAAATTCAGAATCGACAAACACACACACACACGGTCGAATGTTTTTGCTTTCGTTTTCTCTGTTCATGATTCACAATTTTCACAATTGTGTGACACTAAACTCTAAGAATATAGAATGGTTGGTTGGAGGAAATTGCAGCAGCGGTATCGAAAATCAACGACAAAACAAAAATGAACAACAATCGTCGTTGCTATTTCGAAATTTAAATTCATTCCGATGATTTTTTTTTCTGAAACTTGAATAGAGAAACGGAATTGTCGCTGCATCATTGGTTATTTTCATTTTTTCTGCTCTCATTTCATTTCTGTTGGTCGGATTTTTACATTTTTTTTCGATTGCTGTCCCTATCTTTATTCTTGATAATATTCCGAACCATGTACAAGAGAGCTTACACACACACACACACTATGAGTTTTTTTGGTAAATTTTTCGACTTGTTCCAGGAATAACAACAACAACAACAACGTTACTGTGACATACACACATACACAGGAAGGAAGGAAGGAAGGAAATTTGATGACGACTTGACTTAACTTGTATTCTCGTCATTCTGTCAGTGTGTTAGTGTGTGTGTGTATTCCATTTCGATTTCGATTGATAGTGTTCAATTGATGAGAATTTCAAATAGTATAAAAAAAAGTTCTACAATATTCTACAATTTTTAGCCGTTAATTCATTCACGACAACATAACAGCAGCATAAACATTCTGAAACAAACTTTTTTGTTTCATTTCCGATTTGTGCTATGAAAAAAAGAAATTGAATTCTTCAATGAATGAAGCTTTCTGTGTTTCTAAAGATGATGATGATTTCTAATCTTGTTAATTTTGTTTTTCAAACGATAATAAGATGATGATCAGGATGGTGAAAATCCTCTCTTGCATCGTCGTTTGTTGTTGATGAATTATATGATGATGTTGACATATTTAAGTACTTAAAGTTTGGTTTTTTATTCATTTAATAATAATAATAATAAATGAATCCTTTATTTTCTCAATGTATGAAAGACAAAAAGTTTTTTTTTTTTTTGGTTCTTTTGTTTCATTGCAGAGATCTATATGTATGTAATCCCATTATGTAGATTGCCTGGTGATGATGATCATCATCATGATTCTGTTTTTTCGTTCGATCTTCTCTCGGCTTGGCGTTTAATTTCGGCTTTTTTTCTACTCCTTTTAATATAATAATGATGATGAAAAATAAACGGAGCAATTCAAGTCAACTCGTGCATCATCATCATCATTGTTTGTGTGAATGGAATATTTCACAGTGTGTGATCTTTCTCTTTCGTTTTTGTTTTGCATATTAATAATCAAAAAAAAAAAAAAAATAAAACAAACTCTTGGATTCTCTTCTCGGGTTTCAAGTATCTTTCAAAGTTTGTTTTTTTTTGGTTCTATGATGATGATTATTATTATGGTGAAAGATGCAAAATGAGAAAGTCGCACACAATTAGCATGATTGCCTTTGGAACGGGTTGAGGTTTCAAATATTGAAACGCCAACGACGACGATGATGACAAACTTTTTTTTCCAAATCACAAACAAACAAACAAAACGTAAAATGAAACGTGTGTGTGTGTGTGTGTGTGTGTGTGTGTGAGTGCGCCCATTCATCCATTCTATCCATCCAATCATCATCATTACAATCAATTGAATTAAGCTCTATGATGATTCTCACTCATTCAAATTCCGTATCCAATACGTTTCCGGACCTCATATGAATGAATGAATGAATGAAAAAAAATTGTACGTATATGGGACACGTGTCTTCGTTTTGATCATCATGGTTGATAAAATGATGATGATCAAAACTGAAAAAATGAAAGGAAATGAGTTGTTAACTCGTTCTTTCTTTGGTTCGTTTGTGTTGTTTGGATTATTATTATTGGCCATAGTGAAAAAAAACCGATAAGACACGCACACACACACACACATAGTGCACGTGTCGGGATTTTTTCCTTTCGTTTTCTTTTTTTTTCTACATTTTGCTATTTGATCTTGACTTGTGCCATAGAAGAATAGTAGTGGTGATAGTAGCTGCTGGACAGCTGTTTTAGTCTAATAATTGATTGATTTAAATTCAAAATTTTCAATCGCTACACACACACACACACTTTTCAATAAATTGAATCATTTGAATTGATTATTAAAATGATGATGATTTTTTTTCTTCTCTTCTTTTTTTCTAGTTCTAAGTCTACGAAATACACAGGAAGAAGAGCCACCAGATCCACAATTAATGCGTCTAGATAATATGTTAATTGCCGAAGGTGTTGCAGGACCAGAAAGAGGTGGTGGCCAATCAGCGGCAGCAAATGCATCGGCAGCTGCAGCCTCTGGACATTCGACCGGTGAAAGCGCCATTGAACATTCTGATTATCGAGCTAAATTAGGCCAAATTCGTACTATTTATCATCAAGAATTAGAAAAATACGAACAGGTTTGTAGTTTCATTTTTGTTTCTTGTTAACATCATTAACATAATGACTTTAACTGTTTTTTTTTGTTTCATTTAATGAATGAATGCTACCCTACAGGCTTGCCAGGAATTTACAACGCACGTCATGAATCTATTACGTGAACAATCACGAACACGGCCCATAACGCCCAAAGAAATTGAAAGAATGGTGCAAATAATACATAAAAAATTCAATTCTATACAAGTCCAATTGAAACAGAGCACCTGTGAAGCGGTCATGATATTAAGGTCTCGTTTCCTGGATGCAAGGTAAGTTTTTCTTGTATTTCTCATTTCTGGATCAATTTTTTTTTGTCTGGATACGTTTCTGTTTATCGTCTCAAATGTTCAGATATTCTCTTTTTCAATAGGGTGGTGGTAGTTGTTAGAATGGATGGATATGAATCGAAATAGGATTTTTTCGATCAAATTATTAATACAAAGAAATTGGAAACCTTGTTCTTATGTGTTTTGATGTGTGTATGAGTCGAATCCAATTTGATCCAGGCAGATCAAAGTAGTAAAGCATCATCCAACAGCAAAAACAAGAACAAAAATAGAAAAAAAAATTTCCATCAACAAACCTAATATCATATCTCTATATTCTATGGAATCATCTAGATGATGTTTATAATGGAATGATAAAAATGGCAAAAAAAAATTGTGACCATACTCACTCTACACACACACACACATCGAGGGATTAACTAAGGCTATAGTTAAGCTTATGTGTTTGTTTGTGTGCCTTTTTCATTTGGGATTTTCTAACTGTGTGTGTCTGTGTGTGGCTTAGGGATAGGATTCTCATTCACAATAAAATTCGGTATTGTCTTTAGCAACAACAACAACAACAACAAAAATTCTCTATTCGATTGGCAACCTGGTGTGATCATATTGGCCTAAAATTTTTTTTTCTTTTTTTCTTATTGTTTTATATTGTTGTTGTTGCTGTCTATACTGATGTGATATAACAATGAATGAATGAATGAATGGCGGATGAAGAGATTTAGTTGGATCACCATCATCATCATCATATCGATTCCACATGCAAAACACAACATTTTCATCTTAGAAAGAATGAAAAAAAAAAAATACAATACTCATCGGGGGCAAATGAAGAGGGAATGAAGATGCAAAGAAAAAAAAGATTTAGTTTTCTTGTTTTTGTTTGTTTCATATCAACTATTTTTTTTTTTGAGATTCGAGAAAGATGTGAATTTATAAAATTTACAAGTGGATGGTGTATTATGTTTCGTTTGGTTGATGAGGATGATCATTTTTTTCACACATCTCATCACATGATATCCAGTATGATGATGACTTTGAGCAGGAAAAAATTTTTTTTTATATTTTATTTATAAACTTCTCTCCAATTTTTACCGTCAACAAACGAAACAAAAATCAGTATCATACATTTGTGTGTGTGTGTGGAATCAAAGTTGATGATGGCAATAATATTACCACACATTGTTGTGTGTTTATTATTGCCATTTTGGTCACCATTGGGAATCATCATCATCATCATAAAAAGTGATTTTATTCTGATTCCTGCAACAATATTCAAAATTTTTTTTGTTGTATGACTAGTCCTACTACTACCACACTACTTTTTAACACCCGGTATATTGGTGAATAACGATTTTTTTTGTTTTGTTTTGTTTTGGAATATTCATTACCATTTTTGATTGAAGCCAGCCAGAATGATGTAAACCCTTTTTTTGTCAAATTGTAAAATGTGAATAAATTCTTTGAATATTTTTCGACAAAATGCTTTCACATTTTCTCTTGTCGATACTATATAAATATTAATTTTAGTTGTAAAAAGGCATTTGTTGTTGTTATTGTTGTTGTCGTTTCGTAAAAAACAAATTAAGATAAATTTTCAAACATTTCATTGCTGCTGTTGTCGTTTGTTGTGTGTGTATATATGTGGAACAAATCGAATAATTGGCCATTATACACATCGATGAATGAATGAATGAATGAATGAATGGGGAAAAAAACACTAGCATCAATTTTTGTTGTCACACATTATCGAATGGAATGTGTTTGTGTGTGTTCTTTGCTTATTTATACTCTATAATACCGTGATTTAATTTTTTACATTCCAAAAAGGTTTTCTTACCATGAATGAATGCAGAAAAAAAAATCATTGATCCCGAAAAGTAATGATAATAATAATAATAATAATACAGATGATCAAACAAGAAATATGTGTGTTTTCTATCTTTATGAAAGGCAGCAGCAAAGCATCCATCGATTGAAATGAAAATGATGATCATCACTATGATGATGATGATGATGATGACAGGCAAATGAAATATTTGCTTGGATCGTCAAAATATCATCATCAAAAAAAAAACTTGAACACACACACACACACACAACTTTTATTACCATCAAAATTGTCGATGATCGTATGTGTATAAAGTAAAACATGATGATGAATATTCTTCATCTTCTTTTGCCTATCAAAAACGCCATGAAATTAGCAATTTGTTTTCCCGTGGCCCGTTGACTGCCTCATCGTTGTTGTTATGGTGGTGGTGGTGTTCCAGAATGGAAAAATGAAATTTATTCAAATTTATTAGCTGTGTATACATAACACACACAATAAAGCTCATCAATGTTGCCATTATTATCAAATAACAATCAAAAAAAAAAAGAAAGAAAGAAGACGAAAAGTTTCATATATTTGATGAGATGAAAGAATGAACAACCGAAACAAACAAACATCATATGATGAGAAGCATATTTCAAATTCCAACAACAATAAAACCAACCTTAGAGGCAAAATAAAAAAAAATTTCTTTCATTGTTTCCGCTGTACATGAATTTTCCGAATGATTTAACCTTTTTTTATATAAATATCGAAAATAACAACATTCCATTAAGTGTGTTCGCGTGTTAACTAATCCTTTTAGTCCTGTTTTTGTTTTTGTTTGGTACCTTTTTTTTTTTGAAACATTATATATGAAACACACTAACAAACATTGTGTACTCTCTAATCGAATTCATTTGAGAATGAAATTCCTTTTGGTCAGTGAGCCGTATATTTGATTTGTAAAGTGAAGAAAAATTCTATGGCCCGCGTTCCATTATTAAAGTGAAACGTTTTCGTTTTTTTTTTAAATTTTGAATCGCATTCACTATTGAATGAAGAATTGATCTACCATTTTTTTACTATGCTATAATAATCCTTTGATGACTTTGATTTTCAATGATCATCGCTCCAATCCATTATTATTATTATTAGCTGCTAATCTAGATGATTGATTTTTTCCGAGAAAATGAAAAAGCAAAAATTATCAAAGGTTTTTTCCTCAATCATTCAATGAATTCACATCATTTTCAAGATTTCACTTGAAAGTTTTTCTCTTGTTGTTGTTGTTGTTTTTGTTTATAATCACGAATCATGTGAAACACACACACACACACATTTGATGGCTACTTTGTAACAAAATAATCATTTAGAAAATATGAACGGAAAAAAAATTTCAAAGGAAAAACCAAACACAACTCAAATGCATGATAAAAAAACCTCTTCAACAACAATATTGGTGGATTGTAATTAAACAACTATTGAATATTCCTGTTGTTGTTGTTGTTGATGAATTTTTTTTTCTTTTTGAGAGGAGTTAGGGAGAGTAAGTAAATCTCACCAAAAAAAAACAGCAATAAACAACAAAAACAGAGGAAAAAAACTATGCCCATAATTAATAAATAAATTAATCGCATTTTAATTAGCTGTGTAGGAACTATGGTTTTTCTTTTGGAGAGGAAGGCGGTGGGGGTACATTATTCTATTGTATTGACTGCTTGATTTTGGTTTCGTTTCGTTTCGTTTTTTTTGTGTGAGTGCCGGTGTTTATCCTCCCATTCATCCATCCATTTTGATTTTCATTTTCAATGTTCATCTCGCTCTTTCATTCACTTTCACTGTTTTTTTTTGTTTTGTTCCCATACACCACGTTTTATTACCATTCATTCATTTTTCTGTGTTATTTCACCCGAGAGCGAGAGAAAGAAATCGAGAGGATTAGGCTAATTGTCTATTTTGATTTATGGCTCTCTCTCTCTCTCTCTCTCTCTCTCACATTCATGAACAAGGATAGAGAGAAAGACTATAACCAACTGGTTAAAATAATGTTCATCTTTCGTTTATCGTAATCATATATTTGCTGTGTGTGTGTGTGTGTATTTAAAAAAATGTATTACGTCAAGTTCCTATCGATCCATCTTTTTTTTTTCTTCTCCTTGTTATGATGATGATAATATCCGTTTAATATTTGTTTCGGTTTTTCTTTTTTCGCATTGTTTGATCTCATCATTTGTCTCTAAATATGGATCATACATCATCATGTGTGTGTGTGTGTGTGTGTGGGCGACACCTCACTTTTTATTATTATTTTTACCACCATACCACGCCTCCTTGTTGTTATTATTATCAACCAACTTGGATCGATTGATGATTAATTAATAAATTGATGGATTGCATGAATGTGTGTGTCTATTAAATTTGTCAAAAAAAAAAAAAAAAAATTATTTCTCAATGATGAGTATGTTTTCTCAATGTCAATGTTATCTACTCATATATATGTGTGTGTTAAATGTCAACATTGTGAATTGACCTTCTCAATGAAAAAAAATGTGACAATATCAACAACATCAACATCAAAACAAAACAAACAAACAAACATTGATGATGCTAAAACATACACAACACACACACACCAACAACAACAACATTGGCTGATTTGAGCCAGAAACCGAGGAACCCGAGAGAAAAAAAAACGCCAGTTAAATGATTGATGATACTTTTTTTCTTTTCCTCTCTTTACATTTCTGCTGTGCTTATTTCTTCTAGTTTGGTTCGTTTATTCTCTATGTAATGTGTGTATATCCAGAGCAAAGCCAATATTCAATGATGAGATGATCCAGTTTAACTTGATTGTTTTTTTACTTTCATTATATCCATGAAACTAATTGTTTTTTCTTTTCTTTTTCTTTTAATGATGGATTTTTTCAACGCTCACGGAATACAGGAGAAAACGAAGAAATTTTTCTAAACAAGCAACAGAAATTCTAAATGAATATTTCTATTCACATCTATCAAATCCGTATCCCAGCGAAGAAGCCAAAGAAGAATTGGCCCGAAAGTGTTCCATAACAGTATCACAGGTATATGAGCTTCATTTTTTGTTTATTCAAATTGTAAATTAATTTCGAAATTTTTTCTCTTCACACATTCACAGGTATCCAATTGGTTTGGTAATAAACGAATTCGTTATAAAAAGAATATCGGTAAAGCGCAAGAAGAAGCAAATCTGTATGCTGCCAAAAAAGCAGGTATGTTCTCTGTCTCATTGTATTCGTTGTGTGTGTGTGTGTATTTGTATATCAAAAAGCAGCCAACCAAAAAAATCCAAAAAAAAAAATGATGATCGCGCCCATTTCAATTGAACAGCAGTGATGTTGAAACAAAAAAAAAAAACACCAGAAAATGCTTAATTTGAATTGGCTGACGGTGCTTATTTTCATAATGGATCAGGCACAAAATGAAAAGAAATGCATCACACACACACACACACATCAAACAGGACAGGCCAACACATATATAACACACACATCAAATACCGTATATCCAGGCGTATTCGGGTTAGAGAATAACCAAAAAAAAAAAAAATAGAAAGAATTTCGGGCGTCATACGTATTATATTGTCGTCATCATCATCATCATCATCATCGACAACCAACATCGGTTACAATATCATCAGAATAATAACACAGGAGTGAAGAAAAAAAAACACCCAGAATTTTTTTTATATATATCAAACCCTAGCACATTCATATATAGAGAGAGGAGGTATATATTCTGTTTTTTTTCTGGTTTTCTTGTATATTCGTAACATTCCATTAGACGAACTTTCTTTTTGGCTCATCATTCCTGCCCGATTGTGTTTCATTCACTCCATATATGTCAGTCATAGAACAACGACGACGGATCCTATGGTTATATATGTCTGTCTGTCTGTCTTTCCATTTCAATGGTACACATTTCTATGATTGTGTTTGCGTTTGAATCATGAAATGCCATCAAAAAACGAGAGGAAAAAAAATTAAAAACACGGCTCTATAAATTGTTTGACGCTCCCGTGTATTCATCATTCCAACACACAAATATATAATACAACAATTCATTCACTCATAATCACAATGATCATAGAGTGAAGAAAGAAATAGAAATTCTTTATTCTGAGTATGTGTGTATATGATTCTCTATCCTTTTCTTTCGAGAATATTTCTCTGAGTTTGTCAAAAAAATTTTTTTTTTTCGTTTTGATGTGCGCCGATCACGGTGTGTTTGCGTGTTATATATCTTCAATATACAATATATGTGCGTGTCCATGTCATTCTAAGGCGGCTTATGATGGAAACATTTTTGGTTTGGTTTGGTTTGGTTTAGTTCCGTTACTCTCTGTGTACCCAAACAGGAAATTTGGAACATTTTTTTTCTCTATCAAATTAAGGCGCAAGCGCTTCAATTTTGATGACGATGACGATGATGATGATGCTCATAACAAATTTCTTATTTATTTGTTTCGCGTCCATCATCAAATATGAAATAAGGAATATAGATAAAACTGGATAGATATGGACGACACTTGCACAACTACTATCTCCATCTAATGGACATTGTCAATGTTTGGTCCATCCGTTGGATTATTTGCAAAGTTTTTTTTTTTTTTTTTTTGGTTGGTTGGTTGGTTGGCATTTCCCCTGTCACATTCGGTTGTTTGTAAAAATTGTGTGGATGAATTTTGAAAGCAAACAGCAAAAAAAAGCAGGCAAAAATACACACATACCAAATGGCATTAACGCATGTGTTGTGCTATGTAACCCTGGTATGTCTGTCTGTATGTTGATGATGATGATGATGATGCTTGTGGACACAACTCACATAAACACAATATAGGTCCAGTTCTCTCATTATCCAAAAAAAAAACGACTAACATCATCATGCACAGAGATACAGATATATACAGCGCATTCTCATTTATATAAAAACAACAACACAGCATGCGCTTTTTTTTGCCCCGAATGAATTATTATTATTCAGAATTTTTTTTTCTTAATTCCTATGATGATGATGATGATAATGATTGACACAAGGAAACCTTCAACCTTTGTAGATGACCCTAATAACAACACTCCTCTTCCTTCATCATCATACACATTGACCATTGATGATGATGATGATGAATTTGTTTTATTTTTCTGTAAAAGCATTTTGTTTGTTTGTTTGTTCGAGTTCCGCCAAAAAAAAAAAAAAGAAAAGAGGAGTGAGAGAGAGAATATACCCAGCTGCGCGCGTGTTAAATTTTTTTTTTTTTTTTGTTTTTCGTTTCTTCAACCAAATGTTTGGCCGCGTTTTTTCGATCAATTAATTATGATTTATGAAATTTATATTTCGTGATTCATCATTCATTTTCATCATTTCTCACAATCTGTCTGTCTTTTTTTTTCTTTTCATGTGTATATTTATGTTGTATAATGGTAGCTGCTGCCGGCAATTCTCCTTATGGCCTAACGCCTTCATCACAAAACTCCTCCATTATGAGTCCACCACCACCGCCTAGTTCATCACAAGACGGTTGGTCACTAAATGGTGACTATAGTTCGGCTCAGGTAGGTTGTTTTTATTTGATTGATTGATTTATTGATTTTTGAAAAATGATTGAATCATTAATTAATCAATTTTTTTTTTGGTTTTTGGTTTCAAATTTCAATTTTATTCATCATATTTGATGATGATTTAGGTTGCAATGGGATACAGTCCGCATGGTGTAAATAGTCCGTGATACATCTCTCTCTCTCTCTTTTCCTCATCATCATCGTCATCTTTATTATTATTATCGCCATTATTTTATCATTAAATGACACCTCATTTTCATCATCATCATCATCATCATCACTATTTGATATATGTTGATCGATTACGTTTGTTTTTGTTTGTCAATCAACAACAACAACAACAACAACATCAAAACACACACACACTCAATGAACAGAAGAAAAAAAAATCATATGTTTTTTCATTTGTTTCTCTTTGCTCTCTCTATCTTCAAATTTTTTTTTCAAAAAATTGTCATCATCACCTGTGCACACTATCATCATCATCGTCATTATTAACCAATTTTTTTTTCGTTTGTTTGAAAATTCTGATGATGCAACAACAACGACAAAATCCATGAAATGAAAACAAAAACATGTCCCATCAACATTATCGACAATGATGATGACGACGACTACCACGATTGACAAATGACGATTGACAACAACATCAACCAACAACAACAAAAGCAACAACCGGATCGAATTAATTAAAGATTTCATAAATTCATCGAAAAAAAGAAAATGTTGACATTTTGACATGTCAAGATGTTAAAATATTCGGTTTTTTCAGCATTTCCACTAAATTCTTTTTTACCATCTGCCCAGATTGTGTTTAGTTTGTTATATCCAGGTTCTGTCTGTCAAAATTCAACATTGTGTGTTGCTATTTTTGTTTGATTCAAAAAAAAAAATTCGTCATTTCAATCAAATGTCAATTTTGTTCACTTGTATGTAAATCCAACAACAACAACAACAACAACGACGACGACGACAACGACAACAACAACAATATCGACAGCTAATTAATCTGTAGCTGATGAAAAAAAAATCCAAGAAACCATTTTATACACACACCTACACAATGAACATTAGACACAATGTACGAACGAGCTTCTTTACTTTACTTTTTTTTTGTTGATTACTAATTATTAATAAATTTTTTTTTCATTCGTTTTTTTCTTCTTCTGTTTATCTTTCACTCATTCACTCACACACAATCATTTTGATTTTGGATCTCTATATTCTTCTTTGGAACACACACACACACACACACACACACACACCAAACTTTGTAAAACAAACTGGATAACCGATATTGCTTTGTTTCATTGTTGTTCGATCGTTGTCATTGTTAGAAAAATGTTGATGATACCGAAATCAAACAAACAAACAAACCTCAAACAAATCTCTTGTCTTCGTATCATCATTTTATCATCTGCATCATCATCATCATCATTGAACATCAAGCATCAAACAACAACAACAACAACAACAACAAAAATCATTGAGAAAACATCCACTTTCTTTTGTATATTAATCATTATTATTATTATTATTAATTATTATTGAATATTATCATCACTTTTTTTTCTTACTGAGCAGTCAGAGAATAACACACTATACACTCACACACACACACAAACACAGTTTTTTTCTCGCTCGTAATATCTCTCTCTAGTATGTGTTTTTTCTTATTATTTTTCCCATGTCAAATCTCGTGTCACTTTAATTCATTTCTTCTTCTACTTGGAATCTCATTAGCCTCGACATGATCATCATCATCATCATTTCATCAATCAATTGACAATTACGTACACGTCACACACACACACACACAGAAAAATACGTTTTTTTTCGGTCCACCATCAGAATATTCCATGTGAATGTCCATTGAAAATGAAATTTTTTTTTCTTGAAAATAATCCCCGACTAAATCAACAAGTCAAAATAAATGGTTAAGCAGCAAAACTTGAAATAAGATCACATCATATATTTGTTGATTGATTGATTGATCGATTCAAGCATTTGATTGATCATCATCATCATCATCATCATTCAATAAATGACAATTTTGTTTGTCAGACCAATCGAGATTGGGCTTCCATATCAATTCATATAGGCATCAAACAAACATACACACCATTACACCCACTACTACACTACTGCTATAAATCAATTTTAAATCAATCAAAAAAAAATTTTGTAAATTATTTTAATTGTTATGTTTTTTTTCTGTATGATCATAGAATTTTTTTTTGTTTTTTCCTTTATTACTATTTTTTGTGAATGAAAAACAGACTGATACAACCAACAGACAAACACGCAAAGTCAATAGCTTCATTTCTCAATTTCAAAGTATACGAAAATTTTTTTTTTTTTTTTTTTTGTTAAATATTTTTCATGTATAGTATATACGCGCACACATATAGATTATCTGTATAGTTTATTCACATGCCTAAAACGAAATATATATGCCCATTTCAATCAATGAATATCTCTTGATTATATTGCTGCTAATGATTCACATTTGGACACTACAAACAAATGAAAATGAACGAATAGAATCAATCAATCAATCAATGTTGCAGAGAATAACCATAGAATTGAATGAAAAAAAATTGTTGTCAAACAACAACAACAACAACAATTTCTACTTATCAAATGAATTTGTCTTTCTAATCATCATCAAAATTCAACATTGACATTTCTATCCGAAAAGTAAAATTTAAAAAAAAAACAAATCTGACTCAATCACAACACAAATTTTTTTTCAACAAACAATTCATCAATTCATCCAACCACACAGCAAAACAAACAAACAAACAAACAAACATCATCATCATTCTCAATTTGTTTTATATAAATTATTATCATTTTAATATATTATATAAATATTATAAATAATTACGAACTAATTATTATTATTAATAATAATTTTTTTTGGAGAAAAAAAAATATGTAAATCTTGAAGAAATTGATTTGTCGTTTCTTTTCTGTTTTTCTGTTTTTGTTTTTCATTTCATCATCATTTGAATATATGTGTGAATGCATATATAATTTGAATTTGAATATTTATAGTTCATCGACTTTTGTCGAAATAGTTGTTGTATGAAAAAAAAAATTAATACCATGATGATGATGATGATTAGGACGCACCTCGAATTTATTGTGTCTATGGTGATGGTTGTGTGAATGAATGAATCCAATGGTATAATGATAATGGTCTTTTTTTTCGAGTAATATGGATAATTACCTGTGCATTTTCAAATATAAAAGAAAACCAGAAAATGAAATTGCCATTACAACTATCTATTATGTGTGTGTGTGTGTATACTAATGATGATGATGATTTCACCACCACAACCAATGACATCGCTACTGACCAATGTTGTTTACTTGTCATGGAACTTTAAAAAAATATATACCATTCATACACACACACACACAGACAATGATAGAGTAATGGATAATAATGATGATTGCTCCAGTCAAGTTCTTTTTATTCTATATGCCCTCCTCTATGTCGATAGGTTTTATTATTTGGTTTCCCGAATAATGATGATTTGGTTAGTTATAGAGTCTTTCTTAGTGTTGCTTCCTCAATCATCAAGAACATCAACAACAACAACAACAACAATGATGATCACTGTTTGCAAGCCAGAAAAAATACGATGACCGCCGTTTTTTTGTTTGTTTGTGTGTAATGATGATGATGAATACGCCTGACAGATTCATCATCATCATCATCAATGGCAATGGGAAAAAAAGTCTGAATTTTACTAAAGAAAAATAGAAAAAATCCATAGAGCATAGAACAACAACAACAAAAATCCACCACATATGTTTCATTTCAATCATATATAAAACGTATCGTCATTTTTTTTACTTTCTGGTTACGATTACGATTGACGAACTACTGGTACTACTCTCTCTAAAAAGCTAAAAATAGTCGAATAAACTATAAAGATTTTTGCATGTTATTGATGATCGGTCTTCGAAACGATGACGAAGACGACGACAAGAATTCGTTGAGATTCTTCAATTTTCTCACTATGTATATACATGTTTATGTGGCTTTATCGTTGCATGTATAAACTTTTGGTGTTAATTTTGGCACACGAAATGTGTCAGCATTGATGATGATGATGATTATTTCGGATTTATTATGTATGGCTGACGCTAAGGCCACATTGAATTTGAATTCTCTTTGAGAATTTGTTTGAAAATGTAATATTTGTGTTTGAAATGAATGAATGTTTATCGTTTTTTTTTTCTTTTTCTTCATTTCTTCACTTCTATCCAATGGGTAATTTTGATGTTATTTTTGAACTCGTACCATCAAAAGATCGTGATTCGATCCTGTTAATGGATTAACTCCATTTGGACCTTGTCATCGTCGTCGTCGTTGTTGTTGTTGTTGTTGTTGTTGATGTTGATGTAACCATTTCTGTTTCCACAACACACACACACAAAACAAAAATATTCATCCTGAAACTTATCCAATGATGCGTATTATTGGCCACGATAATGATGATGAGGGAGAATTTCACTGTTTCCATAGTAAGAACGGGTTCAATATCAATCCACCTCATCCATTCCATACTGATGTACTTCTGTTTTGAGCAAAAAAAAAAAAATACAACGACAACGATTTGATTTTCAAATGTTTTCATCAACCAATGGTGTAGTGTTTGTTGATTTAAATTGAAAAATCATGTCGTACACTTTTTTTCTTCTTTTCGCATACGGAGAAACATAAAACATGAATGAATCGAACAAATGTATTCATTGTGTATGCTTTAACCCATTACATTATCTTCATTCTTTTTTCTTTTTTTTGGATTCTTTTGAATTTCGAATCTCTAATTTTGTATATAATAATGCATCAAAGAATCACTCTGGATCAAAGTACAATAAGATCATCATCATCATCATCAACATCATTCAGAAATAAGAAATTTCCAAGAAAAAAAATAGATTAAAAATGGATATCAAAGATGATGATGATGATGATCATCATCATCATTAAGTCAAAGTCATTATCTTTGGAAAAAATCAATGCAATCAGTTTAGGTGTAGTAATGTATTTTTTTCTGTTCAGGTATCGATTACTTGGATTAATTTTGAAAGGTTTTTTTTTCTTCTTCGCATTGATTCTTTGATATTTAGAATTTATCGATTATCGAACTTTTTTATCATCATCATCATCATCATCATCGTCATTTTGGTTATTGCGAAAGAAAGAAGGCGCAACGTTTTTTTTTTGCTTCCTACATCACAAAATAAAATGACCATTTCATTGTCTAAGTAAAACTTGAGTAAAAAAAATTATGATTAAAAAAACCTAAGCTGGAAATGGCCTTTGGCCAGTTAGTTAGGATATCATTGTATTATT